GGTACCAACGGCAACAGGGGCGTCTAATTTTTGAAGCTCAACCTATGAGCATTCATGCGCAACTGATATGATGCCTGCGAGCGCAGTTGTCGGGTTTAAGCATCGAGGCCTGTAGTAGATGTGGTGTTGGCAAAATATTTGGAAGAGGAAACCAAAAAGGGCAAAATGTAATAAAAACTAATCCCCCTTTCCTTGTTTGTGGCATTCAAAGTTTTCTTTGGAGCACCTCCCCCCTCTCCTCGCTATAGGCCTGGTGAGTAACCAACACCACCTCCACTGCAGGCCTTGTTGCTTAGTCGCCATTGTGGAGTTGTGGTGTTGGGTTTGGCTTGCCAACCTAATGGTTGTGGGTTCAAATCCAGCAGCCAGGCAAAACAATGGGGGTGGTACAACATAGGTCATGTTGTGTGGCGTCCTCTCTCTGAGAGTCGCCAAACAACATGCTGCCTCCACCCACCCCACGCCTAGGCATGTACGAACATCGTTCGTCCCTCTCCTGCCTGGCGGATGGGTGTCTATAAACCGCATGAGGTACACAGACGCCCGCCGCTGCTTGACATGGCCAGAACAAACAAAAAAAAAGGCCTTGTTGCTTAAATCTGACAACTGTACTCGGAGGCATCTTATCCGTTGTGCATAAACGCGCATAGGTTGAGCTTCAAAGATTAAAATGTTTTCAGAGGTACCTCCAGGCGCGGTTGCCAATTCTCTTCTATACCTCAGTAACAAGGCCTGTAGTAGAGGTGGTGTTGGAGTAACGTATTGCTTTGTGAGATAGCTAGTAGACTTTTCTGCAGGCTCAACAATGTTTAACAAGACTTGTAAAAGCGCCCAGGTTTTGGTTAAAAATGTACACGATTACCAGGAAGCAACAATGAATTCTGGTTTTGGTTGGGGCAGAGTGGGGCAAATAGTAATCATGATTACATCTAGATTACTTTGATCTAATTTGCAGCGATCACTGTAATCTAAAGGCTCATTTACACTATGACATTATATCGCGACATTTACTGTCACCTTGTATCATGCTTGCATGATAATTCGCGACAGTAGGTCAAATGTCGCGATAAAATGTCATAGTGTAAATGAGCCTTAAATTATATGTAACTTGCATGTAATCTAGATTGTAATCTAGATTATGAATCATAATTGATCAATTGTGACTCGCCAATCTAGATTACAGTAATTTAAATTACATGTAATCTAGCTAGATTACCTAGATTATCTAGATTACATGTAATTATAAGTGTAATCATGATCACAATTTGCCCCACTCTGGGTTGGGGAAATAAGTTGTGAATTATTGATCAATTAATTGATCAATTTCTTTATCTACAGCCATTCACCTTTTCTTTATTTACTTCTCCAAAGTCCAAAGTGATGTTCGAGAGCTTTTTTGTTCACCTGGGCATATTTACAGGTCCTGTAAAACATTGTTAAACATTGTAGAGCCCACGGAAAAACTTGGTAGCTACTCTCAGGAACTTAGAGTAAAAAGTGCATCCAATACAAGTTCAGTTAATTTCCCCAAAATATTGCAGAAAAAAATAATTTAGCCAATTTCTCATTAGAAATATGCAGGTACGATTTTCCACTCATTATAGTTATCAGAATTGATAGAATGTGACGAATACTTTCAAATATTAATTAGGAGTATAAAAAGTTTTACCTCTTCTACAGACAGCCCAGCTTATTAAATACAGCCGGTTCATATAATGGGATTCTTACATCTACTTTTGTTTTCAAAAATTGAACCAATGCAAATAAGAACAGTCTTATTTATTAGCATTGCTCCAGCTTTTCAAACAAAAACGAATGATGTAAGTGAAAGACAAAAGAAAAAGCCAAAAGTACAGTGTGAACCAGCCTTGTTTATGCGGAAATAATTTTTATCTTTGAATTATGGAGTGTGTAAGCCCATTTACATTAAAAAGAGTTGAATCACTTCATTACGGTCTTCGACATTTTTTGTTCCTGTCTTTAGCACCATACACAGGGAAGATGAAGTGATTAACATTCAAGTTTGGTTTGTTTTAGACGTTGGATGAACTACTATTTTCCGAAATCAACGTCTCCAAACCAGTTAATCGTAATCAATCAGTTCTTCGAGCTGCATTCAATGGCGCTGAAGACACATCTTATAGTAAAACCAGATCGCACAACTTTTTTCGTCGACCGGGTTTATCAGATATGTCCTGAGCTATATTCACTTTCCTCGGCTTAAGTTGACAGCATTTTAGAATATGAAGACGAATGAAAAGAAAAAGAACTGTTCCAGTGAGGACAACTTAA